AAAAATTAAAAGAGAAGTAAAGAGAAGAGTAAAAGGCACACCGAATTTTACCCTGGTTCACCACAACTTGTGGCTAATCCAGCCTCCCGAGAGACTCTCTCGAGCTACACTACTATCTCGTTAAGCTTGCGGGTGCTTAACAAACCGTTACAACTTGAGAGTTCGAGTCACACGAACCTCAACGAATCCTTCAAAGGAAACAGACCTTCCTTTGAATCAACGAGAGAAATACTTTCTCTCAACGTGTCTAAGAACACAAGTACACTCAAGAACGAGACTCTCTTGTAGAGTAGATTATGAGTAAACTAAGTACGCTCAAGAACAACTCAACCTTCACACACAAATGGCTCTAGAAAGCTATGGAAAATTATGATATTTGAATGCAATGAGAGTATGGATGTTGTGAAGTGAATTGATGAGAAAAGCAGACCCAAACACCCCTTTTTATAGTGCCAAAATAGGCTCCAACGGACCAATACATTAAAGGGGTGATTGACTTGATTTATGGGATTGAATAAATTTGGGATCTACAGGATATTGGCTTCCCATCGATGTTTAGACTCAACCATCGCTGGTAAGCCAATTTTCCTTCAGTTTTGAAGTCAACGGTCACCTACCCATCGATGGGTACAAGCTTCCCATCGTTGGGTGGGAGGTTGACTTCCAAACAAGGAAAGAATCAACCTTTAATGACCACCAACGGTCATGCCTTCCCATCGATGGTATACCCTTACCATCGCTGGGTACCCATCGATGGGATAGGCTTCCCATCGCTGGGCAAGGTCGTTCTGCCTTGTGGTAATTTTGCACCAAGGCTTGAACAGCGATGGGTAGAACTTCCCATCGCTGTTTGGCATGGTTCTGGAAGTTGGTTTGGCTAAGGGACCGCTTACCCATCGATGGGAAGATCTTCCCATCGCTGGGTGGATGGTTAGTCAAGAACCCTTGGTTTTTGGCTTAACCACGGCCTAGCCAACCGGTGCAAAAACCGACCGAAGAATTCAAAGTTCTCCAAAATAAAAACCAAGTGTTTAGAACACTTATTTGATGTATTTGGCTAAGAAATAAAGTAAGACACTTTAAAAACCACGTCATTTGAGTGAAAACCACGGCTAGCCAAATTTATGCCGTTTTGAAAGATTTTTGCCAAATGACCAAAAGCGAAAGATGGTTTTCAAGGTGTTTTTGTTGGAGAACCGTTTAAACATGCCAAAGAGTAAAAACCAATCATAAAAAGTTGAAAAACACTTGGTTGGTTCGGACGCCAAAAACCATAGCCGATAACCGAGAGCCGAACGCCGGTTTCTGAAACCCGAACGCCGGATGGCTTGGTTTTTGGTTTGGGCGAACACCAAGTGTTTTTAATGACTTAAACATGTTTAAAAAACATTTTTATGATTTAAGAAATGCAATGAAAGATTTTAGCCTAAAGAGCCAAGGTGTAAAGATTGGGTCGGTCTTGATCACAATGAAGACCGACTCACGACACTAAAACTAAGGTCTT